AGGACGAGAGGAAACGGCCTCAAGTTGTGCCAGGGGAGGTTTAGATTGGACGTGAGGAAAAATGTCTTTACTGAAAGAGTGGTTAAACATTGGAACAGGCTGCCCAGGGAAGTGGTGGAGTCACCATCCCTGGAGGTGTTTAAAAGACATGTAGACGTGGTGCTCAGGGACATGGTTTAGTGGTGGACTTGGCAGTGCTGGGTCAACGGCTGGACTTGATGATCTTAAAGGTCTTTTCCAACCTTAATGATTCTATGATTCTATGATTGGGGTTAAGGGCGAGAGAGGGAGTTTCTGTACCGAAATGGGGGGAAACCAGCAGCACCCACAGCAGCCCAGCGCTGCTCCAGCCCGTACATCTGTACTCACAGCCTGGTCTTACCAGCCCCAACCACCCCGCAGACAGGCTGGTTTTAGAGCTATGAATCCACGAGTGTGTGATCTTCCACTGAAAACCCCTTTCCCGCAACATGTTGCAAGAACACAAGTGCTGATAAGCGCCCTTGACCAAAACGGGATGATTTTTTTCCCCCAAAGTCACGATGTCCAACCTTTCAGTTAAGAACAAATACAAATATATATTCACATTAAGAGCTGTAAGAGTGAGAGCGCCATGGCCACGCGCAAAACCAGCAGGCTTCCTCCTCTCCTGGGTGCAATTTTCTATTTCACCCAAGCATTTGCAGTGAGCAGCCCGACGAAGGACTGCAAAAGGAAAAGGCAGAGATGCTGCAAACTTGTCTGAGGTCTCCGGGGAGACCCACAAACGCGAGTACACGCCCCAGGAGATGGCCTCCCCCGGGCAAAACAGGTCTTTGTGGTTCTCAAACCATCGAGTGCCGGGTTTGGAAAAACACCGGAGCCAACAGGAGTCCAGCCGGCGGCAGCGTGCACACACGGGCTCCCAGCTATAGAGGGAGCATCGCCACCGTCCTCCTACCGCAGCGCAGGGCGGACAGCCCGGGAACGCTGCACGCCCAGGGGCCGTCGCGGCAGAGACGACCTGTGGTAGATCCCCACCAAGCTCCACACCAGCCCGCCCGACAGCTAAATGACCGGGAGCGCGCGCGGACTTCTCCAATGCCAAGTTTACCAGCTCGAATGGATGTTTTGAAGCGGGCAGATCCAACGCTCGGGATTGACAGCAGTGTTAAATGCCAGTCCGGAGGGGAAAGGCAGAGCTCCTCGGTGGCCTCGCTGGCTGCCCGGCCATGCAGCTCTGATGCCCCAAGCGTGCTCGGCTCTGGTTGCCCCCTCCCATGGCAGTGATGTTCTCTGCTTCCCACCCCTCAGGGCAACCACCCTTTGGCTTTCCTGATTCTCACGGGCAAGAAAAAGGACTGTACGATGTGCAGAGGCCAAAAAGATGCTTCGAAAGGCGAATTCATTAAATATAAACCAAGTGGTCCTGCTCAGAAAAGTGTGGAGTACTTCACAACCTCAAAGAGCGGCAGCCCCCTGCAAACTCAGCTCCATCTCTTGCTGCCGTCCACTGCAGGACCTTGCCTTGGAAACCACCGTCAAGAACTGCTGCAAACCCTTCACCTAAACCGCTTGAGCCTTGCCGTAGGACATTATATTTGGTGGGGGAGTGCCACCACCACATCACCTACTCAATGACTTTTTTGCCTCGGTCTTCACCGGCAAGTGGTCGAGCCTCACCGCCCAAGCTGCAGAAGGCAAAGGCGGGGACTGGGAGAATGAAGAGCCGCCCACTGTGGGAGAACATCAGGTTCGAGACCATCTAAGGCACCTGAAGGTGCACAAGT